GGTGGCCCTAGTTTCTCAGTCCTTCAGTCACTGAACAATAGCTCTTAATCACCAACCATGTGTAGATTATGGTTCTAGTTACAAGAGACACACTCAATCCGCCCTCATTTCTTTCTAGAATAACTTGATCACTAGGAATCACCAAAGGAGGTCTGACGTGCTCTTTGGGGATACCTCTGTGTTAGTAGCAGAGATATGGACTAACTAAAAGAAATTAAGCGCATTTGTACTTAACTGTAACCAAAGGAATGTGACTCTTTATAAAACTAGAAGGAAGTTTACAGGGACACAATTCACAGTTCAGCCAGTTTAACAATCCACCAGCGCCTTGGGTAAAGATATAAAAAACAATCTGATCTTTGGAAGGGCAGGCAAAGGTGTAAAATAATAAAATAAACTCCAAAAAGCATCATGGGAGAAACCAGCTAAATAAAGTAAAATGAAGCACAACAAACATTAGGTTCTGCAATGACATTAGCACAGGAAAGGACCACGTGGCTTGGTGGCAGCACGTGATTAAGGACTCCGGTTTTACTGAGGAGGAAACTCATAGAGTCTGAGAAGCATGGCCACCAGAAAATGAATGCGAACTTGGACTACATCAGTGCAAGCACAGAGTACAAGGCGGAGGGAAGGCATCCGACGCCACACAGGTCAAGGTGCAAGAGATGACAGAAGTGCCTGGCCAAGCTCTGTCAGGTATTGCTCAGTGAGTAACTGAAGTAGTCTATCAAAGGATCTTTCTGGTAGACCACCAAGGGAGCAGAATTCAAATAAGCAGGTAGAATTAGATTTCAATCCTACAGGTGAAAAACACCTTCCAGTAGTCGAAAGCATCAGAAAGGTGGAGCACTCCACCCCTTCCTGGCTACGTGCAGGTAATGCTGGGAGAGCACCAGCTGAGTATGTAAGGAACCCAATCTCCAAAGAAGGCTTAGTTGAGCTGGTCAGTGATTTCCAAACCCTGGTCCTTAGTGAAGTATTCACCAGCCCGTGCAAAGGGGAAAAGTGTCTGTGCACGTGTGTGTGTGTGTGGGGGGGGTATGTGGGGGGGTACATATGCACACATGTAGAGGTGGGTATACATGCACGTGTGTATGGGTGAGTGCATGTGTGTGGGGAGGTACATATGCATGTGTATGGGTGAGTGCATATTCATGTATGGGATAATTTTAACAAATGTCCTCTCTGGATGGAAAAGATTTTAGTTTGTCAGATAGTATATATATATCCCTCCTTTTGGGGTCGGGGGAGGGCAGGGGGACAGGGAAACCAAAATATCTTGATGAAATGCACTGACAGTAGATAGTAATTGCTGGTGTACATTTTCAATGCAGCAACATCAAATACTGACAAATCTGACAATCGCTTAAATTTGCTTTTGTTTTTTGCTTTTTCATTTTACAGGTGGATGAAAACAAAAAGTATAGGGACAACATAAAAGGATAACTGTAAGGACCTTTCTAATACAGAGATGACAAGACTAGACTGACTCTGCCTACTGCATCTTTTCTTCTTTCCTATCATGAAATTTGGCTCTACAATGTAGTACCCAAAAAAAAAAAAAGAAGTATCAAGGAATTGGGTTACACTAAATATGAAATCTCCCAAGAAACAGAACCTCTACTATGGATCAGATCACCTCCCTTTGACCACTCTTTGGAACCAAAGTTTATGAATCAAGTTCAGAAAGAATCAAAATAATTTACCTCTTAAGTTTAAGGCATTTACATTCCTATCATATTCTTACCCCTCCTTTCAAAGGACTCACAGCTAAATGTGATTGGAACAGAAAATCAATTTCTGAATCATTGATTTCAAGGTAAGCCAAGTAAGCTGTAACTCTCATGAATGTTCACATACAAACTTACTATAAGCCAAAGAAAGAAAACACATAATCATGAAAAAATGTACACTATCTCAATCAGTCATTTTCATTACTCTAATATGTTTATTTTAAACGTTAAAGAAACCTAAGAGTTTGGTGCTGAAAGGGATCATGAAAACACTTGATTCAAATCATTTGTGACAGGCAACAGAGGCAGCAAACAGGTTCCTGTCCCTCTTGCCCAGGGCTCTTTCCATCCTATCACCCTGCAAAGGAATTAGGTACATTATAGAAGGAGAAAATCTAGAACATGGCTTCGTGTATTCTTTAGGACTGCAGTGCACATCTCCTTCAAGTTCAAAACAGAAAGAAAAAAACAAGCAACAACTTTGTCTTGCTTTCTAGTTAACAATAACAGTCCAAATTTTCTTCAAATTCAGCATGCTTTTGAAAGGATTTGTAATCCTAAACCACCACCATAAGTAGATCATAAGTTCAAAGACTCAATGCAGTCCCCAATCTTAAAAAAAAAAACAAAAAAAACCCCCTGCATTTACCAATTATGGCTGGGGGCTAGGGAGCTGTATTCACATAAACACACAGTTCTTTGCAAAGTATGCAGTAAACGTGCAACCCCTTTTAAACCAGTTTTGATGACCAAACACAGCACTTTTAAACCGGTCTGAGTTACCAGACAATTGCCCTTTCAGGGTAGCTCACTAGTATTTCCTCACTTTCAATAATAGACAGATTTTCAAAATGAGTAACTCGCTACCCCTTTTGCCTCAGGTAAAAAGATCCCCTAAGGTAGACAGGAGTTTACTAAGCTCCAGTATCAAAAATTCTTCAAAATACCATTCCTGTCGGGAAAAGGGGTGAAAAAAATTTATAAACCCATATTACTTGACTACAATAAGCACCATAAATGCCAAGTCATGATGCTCTCATAATTCCCCTATTACATTCCATACAAGTAAAGCTCTCTGAGAAAGGAAAATTTTAAAAACATAAAAAGCATTTGACGAAAAATATACACTTAACTCAGCTGGGGAAAATCTGCAGCCCATACTCCAAAGCCAGAAGCCCCACCTCCATACCTATAATTTATCTCCTGCTGTATGTCTGGACCAAATGTTACACTGCTTCTTATCCAAATTCACTTCGCCCCATCTATAGGTAGCATGTGGGTATTGATAAAAGCTGTTTCTGATTTCATTTCATTTCCTACTTCCCAGATGTTTGCTAGCTTTTGTTTTTCCCCTTCAGTTTTTTATGAATACACTCTGATTTAGAACAAATTCAACATGTTATATTTTAAGTTGGGCAAGGCACACAATAAATGACAGCTATAACGACAATTTCAAGGTATTTCTCCAGCTTATAAATAAGTTTGCTACTTAGGCAAGATTTGGACAGGCTGCTATGGTCTTGCTTTTGAAGAAAGCACTGAAAACACATAACTGAGAACCTGCTGTTGCTGAAAGGGCCAACTAGAGGCTATTGTACTTCTCATAAAAGGGGTTGTGCTTAAAAACTAAAAGCCAAACATCAACTATCGGCTGGGGAAAAAGAAAGTTGTCACCAACATAATCCTTGGTATGAATCATCCATACATACTTCAAGTACACTTCTTCAAATGCATGAGTGGAAACTTTAGCCAGAATCAATGCTAATTGTATCCAAAACTCAAGAAAGATTGTACTTTCCCATGAATAATATTCTTTTATACCTCTCCAAATCAAGCAGTGAAGTACGAAATCAAGTGGTAAACATCGTAAGTGGGAATACTGTCTAAACAGAATTACAAGTCTTACCATAGAACTTTGAATTCTTCAACTATAAAGGCAAAACATGAAACAGACACCCTCAAATTTGTGACTACAAACAGTAACCAAGTTGTCTCTAGAAATTCATCTTTAGGAATGCAGAAACAATAGACCACCTTTTGAAATCTGCATAAATATCGATTTTATGGGGAAGTAACACATTTCAAAGAAAGCAACAACAGTATTAGTCCCTCCCATTACTAATTGTAAAACTGTAAAAATTAAAACCTGATTGCACATAGGCGACTCAAATGCTCAGTTCACTAAATGCCTGTCATAAGAAAGCCATCTAGTGTTAACGTTTAGAAATGAAAACTGCAGACAAAAGAGGCAAAGAAAAGAGAAATCTAAGTGACTATTTTGAACTTACTGAGCAAACCTATGAGAATCACCAAGGTTCTTTGTTTAAAAAAAACGAGAGAGAGAGAGAGAGAGAAAGAGACCATCCTTACCAAAACCAAGTCCAAATCTAAGCAAAACCCAAAATCTCTATTATTTTATTTTAACCAAAATCCTGTTTGGTGGCCACAATTCGGTGACCAGTGCACTCGATGTTCTCAGTACTCACGCTGGAGTCATCTCGGGCTGAATTAATTGAACTGAAGCAGGTTAATGATGACAAATACCTCCCAGAGGGGTAATGCCAACTTGTTTTCCCTTCCCGAGGAGCCTCCTCGCGCTCCTAGATGACGAACCGAAATTGATTCTTCGGGTTTGCGGCACGGTTGGGAATTCATCCGAGGTGCTCATGAGGATACTCCCAGGACACGGCCAAACTAGCTTTAATAACGTGGGGACCCGAACGGGACCGGAGCGGAGGACGCAGCAGACTCGGCGCCTGGGGCGGCGAGAGGGCGCCTGACTCCGAAGGAAGGTCGCACCGAGTGAGAGGGTCGCCCGCCGCTCGCGGTCCTACAAAGGGGGACCCGGCGCGTAGGGCGCTCCGGGAACCATCTCCCCGGGAATCACCCGCAGCAAGTTCGGCAGGAACCTCGCCCAGCGCGCCGGTGCACCGCGTCCGGCAACCTTTTATCTTTTCTCTGAGGTTAGTCACAGAGGAGTCGCCGGGCGCCCAGAGGAGATCCTCATTAGTGAGCGTGTCACCAAGACGGAAATAACCTTTCAGCCGATCGATAACTTTGAGAACCAGCGGTGGCGGCTCCGCTTCCACTAGGCTCGGGAGCGCGGGCGCGTCTGCGAGCAGGACCCCGCGCCCCGGCTCCCTGCGCCCCAGAGCCGCCTGCCGCCAGCCCCCCAGGGGCAGACCCTTCACCGCGGGACAGTCCCCACCGAGACCGTCCCCAGACACCACCAGCAGGCTTCCATCCGCTCGCCCCGACACGCACCTCAGAGACGCAGACCTCCGGGACCAGCTACAGCCCGCGAGCGCGCGGAGCGTACCCCGGCCGCCGCCTGGACGCCCGCCGCCCCGCTCTGCCCATCCGCCCGGACTCTGCCCGCTCCGGGCTCCGGCGGGAGGCGACCGGACCCGCCGGCTGCGCTGGAGCTGTCGGCCTGCGCTCGGGCGGGCAGGCGGCGGCCGAGGCGGGCGCGCGGCGCTGCTCCTCCTCCTCCTCCGCCGCCGCCGTCCTCCTCCGGCTCCGCCGGCTCCTCCCGAGCTCTGGGTCTGCCTGCCGACGCCGCCGCCCGCCCGCCCGGCCCGAGGCACCGCCCCCCGCCCGCGCCGCGGCCTCCCATTGGTCGCTGCCTGCAGGCCCCCTCGGCCCCGCCCCGCGATTGGGCCAGGACGCCGTCCGTCCCGCGGGCCCGCGAGCTCTTTGCGCAGCCAGTGCGCAGTTCCCAAGCCCCGGCGCACCGGAGCGGCGTGTCCCGAAGGGGCTCGGGCTCCTTCCTGGGGAGGGAGCTGCGGCCTCGAGGGGGTGCAGCCTACCTGGACTCGCCCAGGGGTAAAGCCGTCGTCATTCTCCTCTGGATTTGTTCGCCCGGCTGCCAGGGGTAAGCGGACCCCCGAAGCTGGCTCCAAGCCGCCCGCTGCGCAGTCGTGACCCCGCCGGGCCTCGACTCTCTGGAGTTGGGAGAATCGCGCCCACCTGGCGTTCGGGTCCCCGCGCCGCGAAGTCCTGAATGTCACTGGCCGACAAGACACAGGCAGCTGCGGGCGCTGCGCGGGCACCTGCCCCGAACGCCAGAGTCGCCGAAGCAGGCGACCATCCGAACCACCGCATCGCCTTCGCCGTATTCACAAGAAGACGAGCAGAGGGGCAGCCGGTACTGTGTGCTAGCCCCGGGGAGCGCCCCCCGACCGCTCGGGCAAAGCCTCCTCTGTGAGCCAGCCCGGAAGGACGCCCCCAGACCACAGAAGTGATGCCCCTCCTGTGTGCCGGTCCCGGCGGGCGACCCTGGACCGCCCAGGTGGTGCCTCTGCCCCCGGTGACTGTGGTGGGAGGTTGCACAGAAAAAGGCATAAATAAATAGAACGTTCGAATGAGGTTAGGTCGGTGCTTGCACGCAGAAATGCTGTAGAGATGAGACCCTTAGAAATCAGGAGGAAAGCTGAAAGGGACACGCACTCCAGGAGCCCCCGGCCCCGCCTACCCCGCCCTTCAGGCAGCCCTCAACCCCAGGGAGGAATGCTCTTGGATCTTTATCCAGAAGAGGAGGAAACCAACGTTTTATACCCATCTTCTCTGTTTTCCTAGGAGGTGTTGGATTGTCCATTCATGTAAATTGATTGAACCTTGCATTGGTTGCTGAGTTTAAAGGATCGCAGGAGACCCTTAAGCTAGACTGGAGCCGACTCTGCCTAATGATAGTGGGGGTCACATTCTACAAGCAGGAATGGACTGGTGTAGGTAGCCTCTAACTTACCTTCCAGGGGTTCCTGAGCCGACTTCACACTGCAATGCACTTCTGGAGACTGAATTCGGGGCTTTCAGCTCTGCCCTTTCTAGAGGTGGAATTCTTCCTGTATAGATAATGCCTATACTTCCCTATCACAACACGCCCTAGAACAGAACCCTGTGAAACATTCGAGGCAGGCCCTCCCATGCTATATTTCTCTGTGATATAAAGCATGTACACATTGTAAAATCTTTTTATCTTTTTTAAAATATGGCTGTAATATATGGGAATGGGTATAATAAAACATCTCAAAGAGTAATACTATGACATGACAAAATTCCTGCCTTCTCCAGGCTTGAATGGGCTTCCCAACTGTCCCTTTATTCTCAGCCTGTACAAAATTGTCATTTATTCATTCAACAGTTATGGAGGCCCTGTGATGTTCCAAAGGCCCTGGGTGTGGGGGATATAAAAACGCATCGGACATAGGCCGTGCTCTCCAGGAGCTCACCATCTCACACGTTGTAGATGCTGTACACAGGTCTGAACAAAATCCCACATGGAGGGACATTTCCTGGGGTGCCTAGAGAGGATGCACTTCATAGCACGTTATCACAGTACTTCTCTCACTCGTGTAATTGCATGGGTCATTGCCTTTCTCACTGTTCTGTAAGGGCCATGAGGATAAGAACATCTTCTCCCCCAGGGCTCTGACCCCTAAGGCAGTGACTGCCTGAGCCAATTGTCCATTGTCTGATAGGCACCTTTGGTGTGTTCCTTAATGTCCAATACATAATGATCTTTTAGGGAACCAGACACTCAATGATGATGTTAGCCACATTCTGTCCCTCTCCTGCCTTACCATCCCTCTTCTTGGGGTTTGCAAACTGAAATTGAAATATGCCAAGTCCTTTGGTCACTATCAAAGTTGGCAGCATCTTTTAAAATGCTTGCAGTTGACAGTGCAGAGACAAGAGCTGTGTGCATTTATGAAAGCCCATCAGAGCTTCTGACTTTCCCAGAGCCCAGGTGACATGCAGCCCTCCCTCACCAGAATGTTCCTGGCCTCACTCAGCAAACGTACTGAGCCCCTTGGCAGTGCTTGGTCAAGGGGACAGTGGCAGTATAGTCCAGGACAAGACCCACAGGGTGTCTGCCTTGTGGCAGACTGGGAGAGAGACTCAAGAGACCAAGCTCAGGAATGATTGTGGATCTTCCTTATCGAAGAAAATATTCTAGAAATATTATTAGATTTAATGCTCGTGTCCTTTCTCACTCGCTTTTTTAGGGAAAGGTAAACTGAGGGTGGAGATTGGGATTGCAGCACCTGTTAAGATAGTTTAGTTTATCATTTTGGCCTGAGGATGCCTTAGTAAAAAAAAAAAAATCTTTGCTATTAAGGCTATAAATTTTGCTAAAGTTTTAAAGAAAAAATATCGACTATGAAGTGTAAAATTTCAAATTTGTATTTGCCTGAAAGCTAGAGTGTACTATCCCATGTTTATTTTCTCACTTTCACCTTCCCAGAGGTCAAGATTTCCTAAGCCTCACTTTTTCTCTCTTCTCTTGTGAATTTCATCACCTTCCTGGAGTTCCTAAAGAAACAAACTCAAGGGATTAATTCTCTTTACAACTGTGAATCAGCACGTCAACTTCTTCTGAAATAATTCCAACATCAGTCTTACCTGTTTTTCTCTAAAAGGTATAAAGAGGCACAGAGTTCAAAGGCATACCAGCTGTCTACCTTGTTCCAGTGTTTTGAGCTTGTTGGCTGACCTAGGTTGGTTGCCATGCCTATTTACCTCTGAACTTAGCAAAACAGGAGTTTTATTTCCTTGACACACTACAGCAAGAGTCTACTTGCAGATGATATGCATGCACTTCAAGGAACCTGAATGGCTAAGTTAAGTAAGGGGTTCGATTCCCACCATCATTTCCTCCTTCCCTTTTCTGCTTTCAGCGCTCTTTTTTAAAGTATTTCTTTTAAGTCAAATGAATATTTATAATTTGCAACAAATATGTATTGATTGCATACTACGTTCAGGGCATTATGGTAAACTCAAAGCACCCAGCGGGTTGTACACCACAGTCGTGCATTTCAAAAGGAACAGAACTTGGGAGAAGGTGCTCAAGACCACCAATGAGCGGCGCCCATGGGGAGAGCAGGAGACACAGCCGTCAACTGGCAAAGCTGGGGCCAAAGGGGAAGGCTTCACCCAGGATATCAAACCTGCCTAGCAAGGAAAAGACAGCCCTGCTGGTGAGAGGAAGCACAGTGGACAGACACGGGAGCCAGCTGTGCCAGGCGTGTGTGGGAAACAGCCGTGCCCTATGGCCAAGCACAGGCGTATTTATTTATATAACAAACACTGACATGTGCTGCGTCCATGCCAGGTCTCGTTTTCTTCTCACAGGGGAAATCCTCCCAGTGGATGAGCACATGGGCACAGCTTCACCTTCCCTTCAAAACGGAAGCATCTTACAACAAACTTGTGAAGTAAGAAGTGCCAAGTTCTGCAGCTATTAAAAAAAAAATGCTAAGCTGCAGCTAAGAAAGCTGGGTTACTGGCCCTGGTATACCAGTAGTCCTAAGAATAAAGCACGTGTTCCTATTCAAATAGAGCCCAACAAAATAATGTAAGTTATCAAATAATATGCTAAATATCACATACCACCCATAGGAGCCTAAGATGAAACCCTTCTAATAAAAAATCAATTCTGCAATTATATCTGGAGAACTAAGTGCTCAGATCTGCTCTGGGGAGGCAGAAGATTATTACACATAAATAACGAGACCATCCTCAAGGAAGTGCAATACAGCTGAGCTGGGATTTTTACATAGGAAACAATTCTAAGAACAACGCAAAGGCAGTACATTAAAAATTTAGTGTGTACAGATATGTGCCACAGAAACCTGGAAAGGCAATATGGATGGAGTGATCAAAAATCAGTGACAAATATCTTTCAGAAGGGAACGGTTTCTTGTTTTCTTAACCATACATTTCTCAAAGAAGAATTCCCATATGTTGGTCTTCTCTGTAATGTGCCCAACCCAGTGTGCCCCCAAGAATCTTCCAAAACAGATAGGTTATTTCTTTTCTGATGAGTCAAACTCTCGGCCATAGCTCTTCACATTTTCTACCCTTTTCCTTCTCCAATCCAGACCCACAGCTAAATGACTGACACAAAATGTATCACCCTTAAAGCAGCTGTCTTCTGTCCTCTGGCTTCACCTCACAAAAAAAAAAAAAAAAGCCCTAAACTGTATGTAATTCAAAAGCACCTTCCACCTGTGCTTGATTTGGTAGACCAAATAGTAGAATTTTTAGGAGCCCACACGCTTTGATGTCAGACAGTGTGGCTCATGATCTAGTTTGGACACTTCTTAGATACATGACTATACACGATTCCATCTCAAAGTCCCATTTTCCTCATCTGAAAAATAGGGGTTTCCTACCTCGAAGCTGTGGTGATGAACCCTCGGGACTTGGGTCTGAAGTGCTAAGCACAGTGGTCAGCCCACAGTGAGTGCTGAAAACACCGTGGAGCCCAGTGTGTGCCGTGGCTTCTTAGCCTGCGAGGTAGGGCTGGGATTTAATTCCAGCCCCTCACACAGCACCTGGCACAGGGTAGGGCTCCATAAACATCTGATGAATGGAGAAAGGAGTGAGTGGGTGCATTGCACCGCGAGATAAAGTCTTGTATTTTTTTCTGTTTTTTTGCCAGAGTAGATTTACATTTTTATTCTTACTTGGGACTTAACAGTATTCTTGAACCAGTGTTTTGGATTCTACTTTTAAGAAATAACAAA